ATTCAAAATTATCTTGATGATATGGATGCAGCTAAAGTAACCAGTTTATATGATTTGATCGAGATTTGTTTTTTTTTGAAATAATTTCTTTATTTTTCTAGCAAATGCAATGGAAAACTATTCATTATATGATTTCAGAAGTACAATATGGAGGTAAAAATAATATTTAATAAAAAAAAAAAAAAAACAAAAGAAATAAACGTGTTTTTGTTTCTTTATATTTAGGTCGTGTAACGGATGATTTTGATAAACGTCTTTTGAAAACATATGTTAAATGTTGGTTTCGTGATGAAATGTTTGATCCTAATTTTCAATTTGAAGAAAAAACTTATCGTATACCGAAAATGACTCGTATTGAAGATGTTTTCGATTATATTGAAACAATACCAAATTATGATAGTGGAAAAGTATTTGGATTAAGTCCATTAGCTAATGATAGGTTCGTATAAATGATAGAATAAATTAAACTCAGCATAGAATCTGAAAATTTTATTGTTTTTTTTTTTAATAAATAGTCGAGATATTAGTGATAATCAGAAAAATTTGGTTTTTAATAATATATCTCAGTTTTTTTTTTCTCCCGAAACAAGATCCTATGAAATTAATTTTTCTATGATTATTTTTTAACAGAAACATACTTCTTTCTACTAACTTCAGATATGAAAATGATCAATTTTCTAATTGTATATTTACATAAGTCACTCTTGTTGTTTATAAATTTTCTTTGTTGTACTCCAACCAATTTTTTTATGAATTCTTATGAACAAATGATCTAGAAAGAAAAAGCAGAATATTAAAAGACGTCATCAATTCTATAATCTTATCAATCATATTGTTTCATTGTTAAATAATTTCTAAGTGATAGAAGTCTTCTCTTGCATTCAATGTTCAAAATATGTTAAACATGATAATTGCTTTCAAATATTCAATATAGATTCAATATAAACTTCGATAAAAAATATTTAATTTTTATTAATTTAGATATCAAGAAGATACAACTAAAAAAGTTCTCGATACTATATTAAGTATTCAACCAAAAGAAGCTCGTGGTGGTGCAGGTGAAACACGTGAAGCTGTTATATATCGTTTAGCTACCGAAACATTAGAAAAATTACCACCAGATTACATTGCACATGAAGTTAAAGAGCGTCTTTCTAAACTTGAACCAATGAATATATTTCTTCGACAAGAAATAGATCGTTTTCAACGTGTACTTAATGCTGTACGACGTACATTAATTGATTTAAAATTAGCTATTGATGGTACAATTGTTATGAATGAAGAATTACGTGATGCCCTTGATCGAATGTATGATGCTAAAATTCCAAATGTGTGGTTGAAATTATCATGGGAATCATCAACATTAGGTGCTTGGTTTACAGATTTATATGCACGAAATGAACAATATCGTGCTTGGTTAAAACTTGATAAAGATACAAGACCAATTGCTTTTTGGATGACAGGATTTTTCAATCCACAAGGATTTTTAACAGCTATGCGACAAGTAAAAAAACAAAAAAAAAAGATTTATTTTTATTTTCTATTGTTTTGTATAATTTCTTTTTTTCTTTTTCTTAAGGAAGTAACAAGAGCTAATCAAGGTTGGTCATTAGATAATGTTGTTTTAACAAATAAAGTTACACGAATGGATCGTGAGGCATTAAAAGAACCACCACGTGAAGGTCTTTATGTTTATGGTTTATATATTGAAGGAGCTAAAATAAGAAATGGTGTTTTGGATGAATTAAAAGCAAATGAAAAAGTTTTAACACATCTAATGCCTGTTATACATATATCAGCTGAAGCTGATGTTGGTACAGGTGCAGCAACAACGAAACAAGATCGTCGTCCAGTTTATTATGCACCTGTTTATAAAAAACCACGACGAACAGATAGAAATTATGTTTGTACACTGAAATTAGAATGTCCACCAGGTGACAAAGCTGGACCTGATGTATGGACGTTGAGAGGTGTTGCACTTCTATGTGATACAAAATAAACAATGTATTTTATGTTTTCCTGTTTCGTGTTTTTTTCTTTTTTGTATAGTGAAACTATTTTGATGATTATTTAATCATAACATAAATAAAAAAAAAATCTTTCCTTCTTTTAACTATCATGATATTGTTATTTAAGACCATTGAATATTTTATTGGCGCGAATGTTTTATTTCTGAATTATTTGAACAATGTAGATATAACATGGAAGAGAAATGAAACAATTATTTTTATTTTTATAATTTAGTTTTGATTAATTTATTGTCTATGTTTTTATTGATAGATCAAATATGCATGACAACAGTAATTGCCATGATGATCGATATGAATTTGATGAAAGTTGAATCATAATTTGATGAAACATGATTTTTAGCTGTACTTGTATTATTACGATTTGGATTACTAGTAGCACTAGTAATTGAAGATTGAACACGATTCATAGTCACTGTGCATGAATTTCCGGAGTCTGTGGTCTAAAAGTTTAGTAAAACTCGTTTATACAATAACAATAGAAATTTATTAAGAAGTTATCCAAAATTTCATCTTGCTTCTACTAATTTTTTTTTGTTAATCAAGCAAAACAAAATTATGTTTTAATGGTTAAAATTCATCTAATTAACAATAAAGACACATAAAAATTAAAAATATTTGATGTCAATAGAAGGATTCTTTTGCTGTTTGAATATTTTAAAATCAATTTTTAGTCTTTAATTCAATGTCGAAAATATTTTAGTTCAATAAAATCTAAGAAAGTTTATTGAATTAAATAATTCAATAAACTTTTCATTTTCATCATAAAATTCATATGAAACTAACTCAAATAGAAATATAAAATAATCTTACTACCAATACCTGATTCAATAATACATTCAAGGCATTATCACCTCTTGGTGTAAAAGTACCCAACGACCCAACAGTATTTGCGTTGTTGCCATCCTTAACTGTAAAATTTTTCGCTCCTGAACCTGCTGTACAGTCGTGACCATCTATTTGCAAGGCCGCATGAAGCACATTAGCACGTTTTTCAATAGCCAAATCACTGGCAGGACAGCAGCATGCTGTTGCATTACAAGCACCCTGAAGCTTAAACTGACCGTCCCACTTGAAGGTTCCTATGGATTTCATAGATTGATGAATGTTACATTCATATTATATAGCTTACTTATTGGTACGGCTACCATTAATATGAAGTAAAAGATAAGAATAAGTGACATTATTTGTTAAATAGAATCAATGCCAAACAACTGCTGATATAATAAGACCAATTGTGAATGTGAAGATTGAATGAATGATTTAATTTTATGTTTGAATACGCGCTCTTTACTGTGATATTCAATAAAACTTTTTTTTTTCTAATGAATTTGTTTTCCAAAAAAAGAATTGTTTAAAAAAAAAGCGCCTCTTTCTTTATGTATGTTTTTTAGATGAGTTTTGATTATTTTGATCAATACAAGTAATATTAAAAATTTGTTCGTTTTGTAAAAAAAAATTCATATTAAAATAAATGTTTATAGAGTTTTTCATTTGAAATTTATTACTATTCGATTCTTTCAATCGAAATGGCAAAGTCAAAAAAAAAAGAAAACAAAAAATATTTATAAGGTGAATTTTAAACAGATTTGATGTTTACTATATTCGAATTTTTTGCTGTACTGGAAAAGATTGAAAGGAAAGATATTGATGAAAGTGATATCTTCAGTAAATGGTAACTCTAAGCATTTATAGTTCATTGTTGTTGTTTTTTTACTTCTACTGGTATGGATTAATAATCAATAGTAATAGCGATGAATAACACCTGGTATATATTCATTAAAAGAGCCAGACAAATAACTATTATACAACTATTGTCATAGTTGCAATTGCTCCATCTACACTAGATGCGCACAACCTATAATCGATAGTTTTTTCATTGTACTTCAACGTCGTATAGACAATCTTAGTACATGATATTATAGTAATGTTATAATAGCTATAGAATAATTACGAAGAAACATTTCAAATATGAACTCGCTTTTGAGTCAGGAATATGTGCATCATATATATCATAATGAGCTATGAATACTCTGAAAAAAGTTCTGGTTATTGATTTATCGCTGTTAAGGTACTGCATGTTTGCCGTATTAAACTTTCATATTTTTAGATTGCTCCTATGTTGAAATGAGGACGTTAGGATCAACTGGTGTATATGTCCAAAGTTATATGACATGAGAGTTTTTCATTTTTTATCTCGTAGCTTAGATTTGATCTCAATTAGAATATTAACATTATTCTATACAATAAAGCATGTACGTCACTAGTCAGAATTTTCTAAAATACTTTTCTACCATTTTGCCTGTCAACATATTTTTTTTTGACGGTTTTATGGCTAATCATTTTTTTTCTTGTATCATCATATTAAATTGATGATGATCTATTGAAAAAAATAAACTAGTAATTATTTTATCAAATACAAACATTGAATAGAACCATGGATGAAAAAAAACCTAATATTGTTATGTTCGATATTTCTATTTTTATCAGATCTTTGGCAATGTCATACGAGAAAAAAACTAGATTCGTTATGATACATTAAGATTTTTCAGTTATTGTTCTTAAATGTAATAACAGATTTACATTATGAGATAACATTAATAACAATTAAATTTCTACATTCCTATTTCTTTTTTTATCAATATTGCTGAATCCACGATTATATCTGTAAATATTCAAATCATCATCAATGTTATAACTGATGACAGCAGTACATGACGGCTAACATATTCCGTCTGTTATCGATTTTCTTTTCTTTCTCTTTTGCTCTATTTATTATCCATTCTATATGAATATGCATATACTGAGATACAAGGCCAATACTGACTCTATCCATTCCCAAAAAAAGAACAAGAATATTTCCTAGCTACTCGACTAGATCATATCGATTTGTTTTTTGCAAAGCGAGAGAACGAGAAAAATCAAGCATTCAATTCATTTTCCTATGCATATACATACATATATTTATATACAATGACATCTTCAGCATTGATACCGATTAATAATGATAAAAATTATTTTTTACAATCACCAAAATCATCATCAAATCGTTATTCAATACATGATCATGGTCATGGTTATCGAACATATTCATATGAATTTGATTTATATAATTATGAACCTGAACAAATAAATGTTTTACTTGATAATTATGGTAGATTACGTATACATGCATATCGTTCACCATGTCATGAATTTCGACGTGAATATGATCTTGGTGGACCAAATATTGAAGCAAGACTTGTACGCAATACAATTGATACATATGGACGTTTTCGTATTGATGTAGATGTTCGACCATGTCAATATGATATACCGTTAGTTAATAATAACAATAATAACAATATTCTAACATTTGATTTACATGGTTATCGACCTAAAAATGTAGCTATTAGAATAGATGAAAATGGTTTATTAAAAATAAATGCACAAAATTATGACAATACAGGTGACCATCGTATGAGTAAAGAATATTATCGACAATATCAATTACCAAAAAATGTTAATTCTGATCAAATACGAGCAAAATTAGATGAAAATCAAATATTAACTATTCAATTACCACAATCATTACCAAGCAGAAGTTCATCATGGGTACCGTATCGTAATAGAAATGATTCACTAGCTTATGGGAAAAAACCGCATGGAAACTCCTGCTGTTGTTGTCATCTTATGTAATAGAAAGACAATACTTTAGTCATTTAAAAATATTTTTTTTTTGTAGTATATTTTCAATTTTGTTAATAAAATATAGACAAATATCATTATTTTTGATATAGTTATATTTCATAAACAACTATAAATATTTTTCTAGAATTTTGAACTAAAGAAGATCAAACGTATATCAAGTAATGAAGAGATTTCATAAGGAGAAAAAAAAAACATGTTTCATATTAAATCATTTTCATAAGACTATCAAAAATACTTATTAATAATTATTATAGAAATTATTAAGCATCTGTTTATTTAAGGTAATAAAAGTGATATCGTTTCAAACTTGTTTATGAGAACCTCGAAAATTTATCAAGATGCTTTAATAAAATAGAAAGATCCTTGAAAATTTATAGCATCTGCTAGTTTGACTTGACATTTCAATATTCTAAAGATAGTAAAAAAAAACAAAATTGTTAGCAAAATCTTTAGTCAGAATTGAGCGTTATCAATATTAATTAAATTGGGAGTAGAAATTAATGGAATAAATTTGTATATATGTCTCCTAATATATATTATAGTATTAAATTCAAGAATTCATTTATTAATCTTTATTTTCATATTTTCGATTAATATTCATCAAAATATATTAGGATTCGCATTATAAAAATAGTCTTTACATGAAAATTATTCAGCATAAATCTTTTGTTTTTTTTAATATATGAATTGCATGTTTAATCAGAAATCGAACAAAAAATATGAGTTTAAAACCTTTAATTTGCATTAATTGAAACAAAATCATATGGTTTTTGTTAAATAAAAACTGTCTTTAAATAGTTGAAAAGATAAATTAGCGTATATATATAGATATATATACTAATCGAACTCAATTTTCTTATCAGTCAAACTATATTTATGAGTAACTATCAATCTATCAGTAATAGTTTAAAATTACGCAGTAATATCATCAATTAAGAAAAAATGGTTTGTAAAAAACCATATTATATTTTATGATACGAAAAAAGATATCAATTATCTAATTTCTAAAATAAAATCTCTTCTCATAAAAACCCAAATAATAAAGTTGGCAAATATTCATTTCTATTCCCTTTCTTAAGTATTAAACTGTCAAAAACAAATCATTTTTCAACAGATGTCATCCTACAACAGAGAAACTAAATCAAAAAATCATACAATTGATCGATTGGCAGCAAACGAATCTGTTGTATTCTGATTAGTCAAATATTCTCTACGCACAAAGAACAATTCCCCAAAAATGAAATTTTCATTTTCATCTGATAATATTAATATTTTGCTTACCTATGTCTTGATGGACTAATGTATATTCAACCAACATCTTATACAATTTCATTAGCATCAACGAATACTGCTCAAGGAATGCATACACCATTGTCAACAACGTCAAATAATAATACAATACGCTTATCACAAGAACATCGTGCACGTCTTTATCAAATAGTAAATGAATTAACTGATGATCAATTACGTTTATTTCTTACAAATCATATACAATCTATATCAAATACAACACTAAATAATCAATTTCAACATTATTCACGCACACAATTAATTCAGCAAACATATATTCTTATTGATAATTATTATTCAGTGGATCTTGAACAAACACTTTATGCAATGAGACAAAAACGTTTTCAACCTGATTATCAACAACAGCAACAAATATATCGACCACCACCCCCACCACCACCGTCACAACAACAAGCACAACAGCAACAGCAAACTTATGCTACATCATATAATCCACAACCATATTATTATACTCAACAAACAATACCATATAGTATTCCACCGAATTATCGCCTTCCAACACCATCAAATGTTCCACAACAATTAAGACCAAGTAAAATATTTTATTTTTTTGTCTAACATTGTCTTATGATTGTCATGAAAACAACATTTCTACTTCAAATATTTGTAACGAATAGGAACGAAAAAATATTAAATTCTGAATAGAATTGCTTGTGAATATCAATTAGACATGTTTAGAAAAACTTAATGTTAACTTCAGTCATAAGATTTTCATATACTAAAAGATGTATTCTTATTCTCAATTAGCAATCTAGTTCAGTTTCTTTTTATATGGATTTAGTTCAAGTTAAAGACTTTTTGATATTTTATTTGAAAAACAAAAATCTAATGTTCACATATGATTTTTGCTTTTGCTAAAAATAACCTGAACAATTGTTGATGTCCGTAAAATTACTTTATAGACTATTATTTTCAATAGCTATTGCTAAAAATAAGATAAATCTTCAAACTTTCATAACGAACAAGAGCAAATCAAATAATTGATTAGTGAAACAATAAAACTATTCATTAATTATTCTTCTTAAAATAATCGAAATAAAATATTTTTAATCAATTCGAAAAAAATTATAATCAATTAAAATTATTTTTTTTATCATCTTTTTAATCCTAGTTTTAAAAAAAATCTGTATACTAACTGCGAAACAAACGAAACATGATGATAATGGCAGCGATAGATAAAAAAAAAAGTAATACAATCAGTAATGAAATTTTAATATATATATATATATTTTGATTTACATATGATTCATACTCTTTTTCATTGCACGTACAAATATGACTATTGAGATTGATCCACTAATATATAACGGGTAACTCATTATGCTATCGCCTTCTAATGCCAAAAGCTAGCCATTAAAATAACGCTGCTTATCAACGCTATCTATCATAGAATTCGATTTTTCTTCGTTAAGGAATGAAATCAATGTAATTTAACATAAGAGAAGAAAATAAATTCTATTACATTGACAATCAACAGCAATTAGTATATATATACATGAATCTCAAATGATTTCTTTTGTTTTAGTACGACCGAATTCTAGCACCGGTCAACCTGCAAATGTTCATAATCAACGTTCTCAAAATTCTCGTTCTCAACAACAACAACAACAACAACAACAACAACAACAACAGCAGCAGCAACAACAACAGCAACAACCTCCATATTTTCCTTCAATTTTATCTCGTCAACAATATATTCAACAACCACCAACAGCTACTGCAACAATAACCAATGGTTCATCATCATCTGGTATTCCTCGATATCAAGTTCCAATATTACCTCCGCCACCATCAAATATGACCCGACCAATTCTTCCGACTTCGTCATCAATATTAAATATAAATCATAAAACTTTACCATTTTATCGTCCATTAACATGTGTTTATGAATGCTATCATGTATTTCGTTATGATACATATCGTAAACAATACTTTTCTCGAAATGATTTTGTTTTATCACTTGATGTATGTAATCAATTAGCATTATCATATGATTATGATTCTGATCTTGATATTCATAAAACAACAAAATGTTTAATTATGCGTCTTGTACGTATTGATCAACCACCTATGTCAAATGGTAAATATGATGATCATCTACCACCAAATATAGTTATACATATAAATTCACAAAATGTAACTAATTTACCAACACCAAAACCATGTACAAGACAACAAACTGATTTAATTCGTATTGGACGTGAAATTGATATAACATCATATTGTATGTTCAATCCAATATTAAATAATGAATTAACAATGACATGGTCATATCGTCAAGATAATACAAATTTACATTTGCAATATGTTAATTCACAATATGCATTACATATATTTCTTGTACAACATTTAAATATTGAAGATTTATGTGAACAAATAAGACATAAATCAGCAAAATTTTATCGTGAAGATTTAGTTAAATTATTAGCTAAAGCAATTGCAACTGATCGTGATCTTGGTTTAGAAGTTAGTGATCAAAAACTAAAATTAAAATGTCCTATTGATCAAAGACGATTGAAAACACCAATACGAGCAATCACTTGTCAACATTTACAATGTTTTGATTTAAAAAATTATATTGGTATAGAAATTTTCTTTCATATTTTTACGTAGGAATAATTATCAAAAGATTTACTACTAAACAAAAAAAAAATACCTAAATTATAATTCTTATTTTAATTAGCATATGAGCGCGATAAATTCTGATCGTAAGTGCCAACTCGAGATCGATTTGACTTACAAAAAAAAACTCGTTTTTCTCTTCGAGCTTACAAAAAAGCTTTTCAGATACTTTTCTGATTCGTCACTATGAGATCTGATATGACTGTAACATACAGTGACGGTTCCATTATCTGCAACGATTTTCACACAAACCACCACTCTATTAGTGGCTATAGTCATGAAACTTTCATACAATGCTTGATTACAACAGACAACTCACTGGAGAACATTTCAAAACAAATAATCGGAAATACTTCTTTTTAATGACGCTTCCTATCAACACTCGTGCTAAGAGCAGCCAAAAATAACTTCATAAATTAAATAAACTGTAATCGTTTGACATGAAATTTTGATCAGTGATAGAAGCCACACTGATCTTTCGAATGAGGCACAGTGTACGGTTTCTATTGAATGCGTAGTTATGAATTATTTTCTGTCAAAAACGTTTTTTTTTATAGTAATATTAAACTTCTTGTATCCAAAAATAAAATTGATGAAGAAAATACCATTTGTGATGGAAAACCCCTGAGCGAGATCTTAAACTCCTGTGAAAAAAAAATTTTATTTTATAGCTTAACGAACGATACATGACTCGATACAGTATTTTACATTGATTCCAAATATGTCTTTATTAGTTTGTTAAAGTGCTCATGTGGCAAAGAAATTGCAAAAAAAAAACTTTAAAAATTCAAGATTTTTAGAAAATCTGTATCTCCATCCAGAAGCGTTGACGTTAATTAAATGTGTATTCCAGATAAAGAGGAACATTCTCTGAAATATTCGTCGATATCAGATCAGTAGAAAAAGAAATAGCTGCCAACTTTACTGAATATGTCTCGTGAGAAAACGCTTATGAGTGAAGGTTTCGAAGTTATTAAAATTTTTGAAGCCTATGTTTTAGTCAATTTTCTCCAAAGCTGGGGAAGTACAGAGTTTTTCGAGAACGAGTATCGACCTTCGAGTACGAATACTTCAAATATTTTACCCCAGCTCTGGTTCTCTCTATATAGACCTGATTTTTCGATAAGATCCTATTGTCGAATTTTAGTCTAAGTGAGACTAGCTTATGTACAACATTTTAAAAGTTTTCGATTGAGTGGCTCTAAGATATGAAATTTCTAAAATATTTATATTTTACATAGTAATTTGAATTCTTTTATTACTCGTATTTTTACTTTTTCTGTAACAACACTCATTTCCATTTTGTTTTATTTAGCTTTAAATGAAAAAGCTGGTAAATGGATATGTCCCGTATGTAATAAACCTGCTTTGTTTGATGATTTACAAATTGATTCGTATACTGAATCAATATTAAATTCAATTGAAAATGAAAATGTAACTGAAATAACAATTGATAGTAATTTAAATTGGGCACCTGTAACATCATCATCTTTAATTATTGAACAACAACAACAACAGATAACATCAAATATTCATGATATTATATTAGATGATGATCAAATTGATGAGAAACATCAACAACTTGATTCAAAATTACATATTCAATTAATGCCATCATCAACCAATGGATCAACTGATGTGATTCTTATTGATGATGATTAACAAAATTTTCTGTGTTTGTGTTTTTTTTTTGTATGATAGCAAAACAAAACAAAAAAGAAAATCATATTATTGTATATCTGTTTAAGAAAGAAAAAACGAATAATTTGTCTTGTTTTCAGATCATGAATAATTTAGCAGATGAGCAACGTTATCTACAATTACAAACATTAACTATTAATGATCTACAAACATTATTAACATTTGCTGGACAATCACGAACTGGTAAACGACAAGAATTAATTGATCGTTGTCATGCTTTAATGAAAACATCAATGACAATAAGAGAAAAATGTGAAGAATTACATAATAAACGTTTTGGACAAGGTGAAAAACCAACAATACCATATCCAAGAGATTCAACAAATACATTAAGAACTACACATCATCATTTACATTCAAATCAACAACAAAATATTGAAATACGTTTTGCACCATTCACATTCAATGAAGATTTATGTGTCATATCACCACCACATGCTATTGCACCCTCGAAACAATCAGCAAATGGAACACAATCATTGGCTAATTTTTATTTTTTATTAACAGCACAACAAGCATCAGGTATAAAAAACCATAAATTTATGCATAAATAAACTTGATCAAATAGTGATTTATACAAATTGCTTTCTTATGTAAATCAAATTGAAGAGTTGATGATTTGTTCATGGGAACTCTTAATTCACTTTTTTGAATTGTTCGAATATTTTCTACGCATGTGAAAGTAATTACAAATGCTTTTGGATGGTACAAGACTATAAATCTTTTTGAGTGTGAACTTAATGATAGCTAGCTTTTTCTAAGATTTTCTCTTCAGTATCATTCCAATTAGAACATAAACTGCTCGCCGTCAGCGTTTTCATATGAACCTGAGTGTACATTATTCAGTAGTACAACGAATACTGGTACGTTGTGCAAAAATCATGGGAAAATATCAAGAAATTTCGAAAGAGAACGCATAAATACGTTTGAATAGCTTCTATGAAATTTTATAAAACTAATGATCGCTTTATTCTTTTATTTTTGAGTTGTACCTGATGACTATTTAATGTTTTTTTCTTTATAAAATATAGATGTAGCAACATCAACATTTTTTAATACTGATCAATCGAAAATTGAATATCGAAAACAAATCTTATTAAGGTTCACAACTATTGGTGGTGATTCAACCCACAATGGTATCAATGCTCCTGATAAATTACCACCAAATCTTCATGTTATTGTTAATAGTCGAGCAGTTCTATTACCTCAACCAAAGCCAACAGCAAAACCAAATTCAGATGTTATTCGACCAGGTATTTTTTATATTTTCAAAATTAGCAATAGTTTCTAGTTTACTATTCTAATTTAGGTCGACCAATTGATATAACAGAATATTGTCGTTTATGTCCATTAATATCAAATTTAATTGAAATATCTTGGTTTACTCAAGATGTATCAGTTCCACCTCCAACATATGTTGCTGCTGTTTTTCTAACTGAACGTAAAACAGTTCCGCAATTATTAGCTCGTCTTTCTCGTCCATCAGCTATTCGACCATCACTTGAAACTCAGCGTACAATAACACAAATTTTATCAGCTTCACAAACTCCACAAGGAATTGATAATGATCTTGAAGTCGCATCAACATCACTTCGTTTACCACTCGATTGTCCAGCTATGCGTATACGAATGCGACTACCTGGCAGAGCAACAACATGTAAACATGTTCATTGTTTTGATTTAGACGGTTATTTACGTATGAATGAAAAAAAACCAAGTAAAGTCTTTGTAAATAATAATTTTATTTTAATAAATTATTTTTTTCTGTTCTGTAAGCTTGGCTTTGTCCTGTATGTAATAAACAAGCATTATATACAGATTTATTTGTTGATCAATTTTTTATTGATATTATTGGTAAATGTTCGTTGGATGCTAGAGCTATTGAATATGAAACTAATGGTCAATGGAAAGCAGTTGGAGAAGAAAAATTATCTCGACGAGCACAACGAGAAAGAGACGCTTATAAAGCGGCACAAGCAGCAAAAAATACGAATGGAAAATCAACTGTAGATAATGATCATTCAGGTGATGATGATTCAAATGATGAACGAGCAGTTACAAGTAAGTTAAATAAATTAAAAAAAAGTATTAAATAATAGTTTCTTATTTTTTTTAAAATATAGAATCAACTGAACGTCCAGCTGCAACCAATGCTCAAGAAGACATTCCTATTATTGAGCTAGATGATGATTAATAATTGTATTCTTTTCTTTTTTCTTTTTTTTATTTTCTTTCTCTCGTGCGCTCTGTGCGAATGTACAGTTGAAACAATAAATTATGCACACACATAAATACGTATAGAAAAAAAAAGAGAACGTATCTTTTGTCTTAATTGCCTAGTGGACGTAATGGAATAGAATTTCGATTAATTGAACTATCATTTGTTATTCGAAATTGTTTATGAGCTTTGCTGTAACATATATATATACCAGCAACAACACCAAGTAATCCAATAGCTGCTAAACCACCGGCAATACTACCAACAATAATCCATGTAGGATTAGATGATGCTACCAAAGATAAGAACAGATTTGATAAATGATTATATTATAGAAGACTCTTACGTGTGCGTTTTGTAATTTCTGTTGTTGTAGTAGTTGTAGTTGTTGTAGTTGTAGTTGTTGTGGTCGTTGTCGTTATTGCTTTTAACAAAAGAAGAAAATAGATGAAAGTTTTTTCAAAATAAGTCTTATTAAATTCAATTCAAAGTTATTTACTGATCGTTGTTCCATTTGCTGGACTAAATGTAGATATAGAAGCTGATGCTGTTGCTATAAGTTTGAAAAAAAGAATGGAAAAATAATTTATTTTGAATGAATATTTTGAAAAAAATTACTAGAAGTCGTTGTTACAGTAGTTGGTGCTGCTGCTATGAATTTGAAAAAAGAATGGAAAAATACTTTATGTTGAATGAATATTTTGAAAAAAAATTACTAAAAGTTGCTATTGTAAAAGCTGAAGTTGTAGCTGCGCTCGGCTCGCTTGTTTCAATAACTGAAATAATTGATATCTCATTATTCATCATATCAGTAGCATCCTTTATTGCTATTTGCTTACCAGTAACATTCTAAAAAAAAAATTCACATCTTAGAAAAATCTCACAAGATTAGATTTCATTTTCTCATCATCATAGTTCATTATTTTAAGTTCTGTTGGAGTCAAACTTGTAACGATGAAAGACTTTCATCATAAAAACTACCATTTGAAATCAATAACCATAGTATTATATTATTATAACCTTGGACACAATGTTTCGAATGAAACTTATCAGTTTTTGAATCATTATTGTTTATGAGCATTCTAAACTAGTTTCTACTAACAGGCCCGTCAAAAGATCGTTCTTTATCAATACCAATATTTCTGTTTTTCCAAAGCAAGAATCAGCTACAAACATCATGTTCAAACAAAAAATTATTCTTAGTTACATTGTTAAAACATATCAAATTTAAAATCTCAGTTTTTTTTTGAAACGAAACATATCACTGATTCCGATAATCTTATTTCATGAAAAAACAAAGTTTTTGAATAGTTCTCTTTTTTTTTGAATAACAAAATCTCTTTTTCTTCTAGTTACACCTATAATTTTCAAGCCTCATTAATCAACTGAGAGTTTTCTTTTTCAATGCACTTACACCTTCAGTTGACTCTTGTGCATGTACAACGATAAGTCCCACTAAAACCAACGACATTATAAATATAAGCAATTCTACCAATATTGCAATTTAAACATACAAACTAGGATCCATTGTAAATAGAAGATTTTCATTGATTCGGCTACCTGATAATTATTTTCATACGATAAATGACCCACGTTTGCATTCTATGTGAGCAGCGTGATGATAAAAGATAACAGAAAAAAAATGTGTTTCATAACGACCGATATGATAATAGTTTGCCAAAGCAAACACAAACATCTATCATCACTGCGAAATATTAATATTAACTGATACTTTCGATAATTTCTTTTCTTTTTCATAATTAAATAGATCGTAATCCTAAACGGTTGATATTATTATTTTCGGCTGTCTCAATGATCAATGATTCTATTGTGTATTATTGAGATCAACAATTTGGATATAAGTTTAATCAATAAATCATTTGGAAGAACTCTATTTATTATGAGACATAGAGTATCTTCAAATTAGTCCTATTAAAAAATAGGTTCCACATTTTCTTTTGTAGGTTAAATACTACCAAGTTCTTTGTATAAAAAAAATAGAAAGAGATAACTATTTCGGAACAACAGAATACGAAAATATTCGTTTACCTTCACCATTTTTTTTATCTTAATTTTATGATGGTTCGATGTAAAACAAAAGCTGACGCATACAACTTTCCAGAACATGGTCACTTGTAAATAACAGAAAACTTTAAAAAATTAATGTTATTGTTTCAGATTTTTCACTTTTTCAAAAAAACAAAAAAAAGGAATTCAATTGATCTTGCTAGTAAATACTTTGCCTACTACTAAATTTACTTTATATTTGTGTTTTTGAAGTAGAAAAGTAACGCTTTATATAAAATAGTCTCTGAAATGGTTTACTTATCACTATTTAGTCAGATATCTCAAGTGAACTTTAGCACTTATTAATAGACTTTCAGCTACTTTTTCAACATGGGATGTTTTCTTTCATTACATAATCAAATGACGTAGATATATGCTATAATTAGAATGTTTTTTTTATTTCATGCTTGAACGTTTTCATCAAAATTGATTTTAATATAAATTCGTAAAAATCTGTGCACCTAATAATTTTCATTAAAAAAAAACTTTTTAGTTCATATGTTACATATATCAGAGAATTATATGCTTCTTTTCTAGTGATTTACAATTATTGCTAGTAGAATCTAACGTCTTTTCTTCATACTACTTTAGCTTATTCGTCTGTATTGAAAGTTTTTATTAAGAAAAAATAAAAAGTCTTTTGTTTCTTTTTATCGCTTTCTCGACGAACTTCCGCTGACTCCTTTTAACTCTGTCTAAAGTATTTCTTGTTTCAAAAATAATACTCTTTTCTTAAATAATCGATTATATGAATAGATATAACAATAATCTATTAATCTATCAATGATATTATCAGACAAAAGTTTCATAATTGCATGATTAATTTATAAGATAACAGTTAACTAGAAATCAGATAATATCATTGTTTATCAATTTTTTTCAATAAAGCATAACGTAGATATTAGTAGGCGTTCATGTCAAGCCTTTCAAATTATTAACTTCTATGTAAAAAAAAAATCCGAACTAAAGAAACCAAAACTTAGAAAGTTTCATAAATTCGATTACATTAAAATTAATTGTTTTGAGTTGTAAGGTCGTGTAAACAACTGATACAATACTTGAATAATTTATGCACATATAATGACGATTGTCAGATCATATGATTACCATTTTTATTATTATATATTAAATAAATGAAATATTTTGTTTATGATTTTGGAAGAATCTATTATAATTAATAAGCTCTAATAAATAACAGTTGTTTCTTATAAGACATTTTTCATCTATATGCAGAAGAAACGTATCTATCATCAACATGTGTGAAAGCCATTAAGATTAACATTCAGCTACGATACGACACCATCGAGATCAATAGTCATAATTCGATCATGATCGATGATTACATGTAAATCGCATTGGGGATAAAATCTTTGCCCTATTCATAAGATGGCTGCTCTTTTTTTTTTGTTCGTGTCATTTCCTTGTTTAAGAAAAGGAAACACGTAATATCTCTTGTCCTTGGCACCTTTTTTCAACTTGAATATTGTACTTGATGGTAGACAAAAAAAAGAAAAGAGCATAAGTTGTTCGTCTTTTTTTCCTTTCTTTTTCATCTTTTCTTAGCTTATAGTTCGATCGCAGATAAAAATTTGTCCTGCTGCTCTTATTGCTTGACAAAGCAATCTCGTTTTTTCTTTCTTTTGCTTTCTTACAGACGTTCATGTTCAGTCACTCCTTAAACTAAATGACTATGTTCTCTTCTCTTCCCCTCTTTCACTTGCGCACACAAGCATACTCTTTTCTCTTTTATCGTATTTATGTAGAAAAGAAATATAGACATATAGAGAAAAAAAGACGACGAAGAAAAAAAAAGTTCATTAAATAAGACTAAGCACAGAAATAACGACAACCATTGCTGTTGTGTTTCTTTCATCTTCAGTTTGACTCGTACAGAAGATGACATCACACAAATCTTCCTATCAAGTTGTTGCTCAAGCTGAAACATTACTTATTTATGGAATATTTTTATTTTTAACTGGTTTAGTACAAATTGGAGTGACTATTGGTCATCGATTTATTATTGAAAAAAATAATAACCATAATGATAATATAAGTTTTGCTCATTTTTTTCCGACATCATTTACTATGGCTAATATTCATATTTGGTATGTTTATCCATCGGCTGCACTAGTAAGTTTTTTTGTAACAGAGAAAAAAAAGACGTGATAAGCAATGAATCAATATTCATACAAAGAGCATATCAAAATGTCATATGTGACAATAGTTGAATAATATTGCACATAAATCCTCTTTATCCTTTTCGTTTTGCATTGAATGAAGCGATTTCTTTCTTTTCTAAATAAAACCAAATGAACTTTTTGGTTCTAATCGATTAAATTACTTTTCAATATCAAGAATAAAATGTTTATTTTAATTATCGTAAAAAATGTGACTATATTTACTCTATTTTAATGTTAACAGTAACAATTTCCTCTCTCTTGTTTCTTGATGAGACAATAGAAGTTCTCAATTTAATATATTAATATATAATATATACATTATAAAATTTATTCTCACATCTTTAGAGGTTATTTTCTTTCAATTAATTAAATAATATACATTGTTTCCTTTTCATATCTCATTCATATTGCCATGTATTTAAATTTATAATAAATTCATGTTTTTTAGACAATTATTCCATGTCTTTGTTGTATCATTTTTGCTATATTCAAACGACGTGCTATGGTAAAATCAAATAAAAAAAACATATATTTTAAACATCATATCATATTATATTTAGGCTATTTTAATTTGTATGTCTTCTTTTATAAGTTTTATTTCATCCTCAGTTTATATTGGTCTTCTTATTATTCATACACTTGAATATTGGCAAACAATTGAGTCTCATCGTTTTCAATCTCTTCTATCAACTACAGCATCAACATCAACGTCAACAATGTAAACTTTTCTTCTATTTATTCAACATTTTTCATTATTGTCTTCAATTTTTATATAGACGTCTTTTTGTGCCGTTTGATGAGCCAGCAAGTTTTGCTAATTTAGCATTACTTATCACATTTACATTAGCACTTGTTCAAGCATTGTTATCAATGATTGGTGCAGTCATTTCTTGTCTTTGGTCACCATGTTGTATTAGTTCATCACAAAGTTATACACCAATAACGACTAATTCTCATTATGCTCAAACAACGTCACATCGATTCGAAGTATATACGTTAATAAAATAATTACTTTTTTTGTCTCATGTGCCTCTATTTAGAATCCTCAACTATCCACACTACGAAGTGTGAAACGCCAGCAACATTCAGAAGCTCATCAATTTATCACACGAAACGAATCTCAAGATCCAGTGATTAATGGTTTTCTTCATAAAAATCTACCTATTCGTAGTAACTATGATGAGGTTTAAACGCATTGCTTGTTTGTTTTTGTAAATATATGTTGTCACAGCTTTATAACCCGTCTATATATATATATATATATTTTTTTTTTTTTTTTTGAGGAAAAAAAAACATTTGTCATTCAGTACAATCGGAGAAGTAATAAAATTGTTCAAGAAGTTTTTTCGATCAAACAAGTACTAGTGAATATTAAACTCACAATTTCAAGGAATAGAAAAAAAACAAGATTTTTATTATTAATTTCTATGTTATTCAAAAAAAATTTTTGTTTGATGTAAATTTTTCTTTCATTAAGTCTATTCACATCAAGATAAATTTCTTTTATTATGATGAAATAATTTATAAATTAAACAGAGAAAAAGAACATAATCATTGATAAATATAATTAAATTTTTATTAGAAATGTTCTATTTTTGAAGAAAAAAAAACATAAATACTATTTGATTATTACAAATTAATAATTAACGAAGTATAATTTTGTTTGTTTTATCCATAAAATGAAATAATGTTCATTTTTGAATAAACTGAATATGTGTTCAACTGAATTTTGTATGTCAAAGACGATTAAACATTCATTTATATGCTTTTTTTTGCTAAACGAAGATATTCATGAATTGTTGAACCGTGAAATTACATATTCTCTTGATCAAGA